CATGAAAAGCTGTTCTTCCTTGAATTCATTTCCAGCTCTCCAGAACGTGTCCTTGGTATGAGTATGGCTGTGTTATGTGGTATTCTGCACATCGGTCCCTTCTCTCCCCCCTTCCATTGGGTCCCTAAACATAGGGTAATGTCTGCCCTTTTATGCTGAAGGGAGAAAAACAATCTGGCAGCTTAGTCTTCCTTAGCAGTACCGTAGACCTGGCAGTGCTTTCCCAACATCACCAGAGCCAAAAGGATCTGACAGCAGCCTGATGTCTGGAGGGACAAGTTGTTCAGCTGAATAGAAGAACGTGGGAAAGTGCTGTTTAATTGTAATGCTTCCCATTCTGCAGGTCTCCAGGCTGTGATTTTTTTGCCCTGATGCTAGTGGCTCAGAGAGGCCAGGCGTGAGAGGTTTTGCTAGATGAGAGTCACTAAGAGATGGCTGGGCAAGAGGAAATTGTCACATCTCAGAAGCTCCTCGGCCTACAAGATTATTTTTTTTTCTCAGCAGTCATCCTTCCTGCAGTCTGGGAACCGTGAACATATAACACAACCCACACTTGGGAAAAAAATAATAAGGTCAAAGCTTCTCATTTTAAGACTATCCTAAAAAGGTGTGTACAAAGTAATGACAAGTGCCAAGTAGGCAATGCTAACTGTTGCTGGTGCTGACAATTTCAGCATTTTTAACATGCCATCTTGACATCTTGAAAATTAAGTCTCTGACTTTTTTGTCTGAGAGAAATTAATGTCCGCTAAGATCTGGTCACTTTTAATGCTGACTGGCTTTTAAGCAGGATAATCTAAACTGGGCTTTACATTCACAGAAAAATTATTTCCTACGCTATCCCCCTTCCTCTCAGCCTTTCCTTGCCCTCTGTCCAAGGTAGCAGACTGAAGGCAACCAGACATTACATTTCTAACAGGATTTCAGCCTTGAATGCCCTCTTTTCTCTTCCACAGAAAAAGTGGCAAGCTAGATATGACCATCTGGACATATCCTTCTCCTCTTGGGCATTTGGTCTGCGTGGTCAGATCTATTTCTGAGTTCGTTTGATGTGCTGCTAACTAAAATGACTTGACGGCTTTGGAAGGGGCAGGGTGCACATGTCCTAACTGAAGCTCTGCTGCTGATGCCCAATGGTGGCTGTGTCTGCTGAGCCATTTGGCCTGCATTGACCATTCTGCCAGAGCCTCCATCTGCTAGGCCTACTTCAGCTTAGTCCAGAACAGATCTTTTCTTGGTTTGTTGTGGGGCTTTTTTTTCCTGATGCAATCCCCAACCCTTTGAGGTTAAGATAAGTCCCTGGAACATGTTGTCTAGCACTGTTCTCGTCTCCTCAGGGCTCTGCTTTCATGTTTTCACCAGCACATCACAACTCAGCTGTGCTGAGGATGCTGTGAAATCACTATCCTCGTGTCCAGTGACAGAGAAGTTGGGCACAACTCTTGCAGAAATAGCAGCACTCCATTTTTCTTTCTCAGGCTAAGCCTACAAGTTTAAAACAAAGCCTACTCAGTGCTGAGCCAGATCTCATCATGGTGCTGCAATTCAATGCTGTTTGTGCATACCACAAACGTGAAACCGTAAGTGCCTTTTGCAGGAGGCAGGGCATTTGATTTCCTACCTGGGGTATTTTCTTTCTGCTGTCCTTTCTGCAGTCCTGAGGCATTAGTGGCCACTTCCAGAGAGCACTGTGTGACTGTTGTTTTGTACTGCCAAGCATTTGCTGTGCAGAAAATCCTGAGGACAGGGCTGTGATAAAGGGAAGGAAGCAGGAAATGGATCGCTTTCAGTCAGTGGAACTCTCATGCATCCCTCAGCATGGTGAGATGTAATTATTTGGCAACATCAGTGTTTTTCAGCAATGCTTGTTTGTTGTTTTTTTTTTTCCTTATGTCTTCTCCAACTTCTTCCTACAAGTATGGATGCACTACTAATGGCTCACAGGAAATCATTGATGTAAAAGGTATCAAGGCTTGTTTATCAGAGGATTTTGCTTTGAGAGAAAGGGGTTGATTTTCTGCTCTGCCTTGCTTTACTCAGTGTTGTGCTCTTAGGAAGATATCCCTGCTCTGAAATTCCTTATCTCCTGGAAAGGGAACCCAGGTGCAATCAACTGTCTTCTACACCTCTTACTCCAGTTGCCTCACCAAGAGCTCAGCCATCAACACAAACTCTTGCACAGCAGACTGGCTTCCAAATTCATTTCTCTTTCCATTTTGGTGCCAGTTAGAGAAGGTTGCTTAGGTTTTCATCCAGGCAAGGGTTGAGTATCTCCAGGGATGGATATTCCGCCACCTCTTTGGGAATCTGTTCTTGTCTTTGATTTTCCAAAAATGAAAGCTTCTTCCTCATTTTGAGTTAGAATTGTCACTGTGTAGCAGCTCGTCTGCTGCTTTTTGCTGATCACTGTGCAATTCTGAATGTCGCCTGTGCACCTTTCCACTAGGTATTTGTAGACAGTAGTAAGACCTTCACTCTTCTTTCTCTCTTCGAGTGTGAACATACCCATCTTTCTCAGGCAGTGCTTGTACACTGTGCGCTTGCAGCCTTCTGATCATCTTGGAAGCCCTCTGGTGGACTTGCTTCTGTATGTCAGTGGCGTTCTTGTACTAGTCAGCCCAAAACTGGATGTAGTGCTTAAGAGACAGCATCTGAAGCACCATATAAAGAGATATAACCACTTCCCTCCACTTAGGTGGTTATGCTCCTGTTCATACAACCTAAGATATGGTTCATCTTTGTTGCAAGGGCACAAGCTTATGCTAAACCTGTGGAACCACTACTTCTGCTGGGCTACTTTTACCTATCCAGCAAATATCAGTGTGGCTGAAGTTCCCTGCCAGGCCTGTGACTTTGAGGCTTCTTCTGTCTCACAAAAGGACACTTCATCCACTGTCTCTTCATAATGAAATAGCTTGGTAGCAAAAAAAACAGCCATCAGGTGTGATGCTGTGATAGCCTCTGATCCACAGCTCCCAGCCAGCTCACCATTCAGAACACAGCTGGGTGTACTCCAGTCATTGTGATGACTCTATTTGTGCACAGCCCATTTGAGATGGACCCGCAGCTTTCACAAGCAGAAGTGCAAAATCCTTTGCTGTTTTGCTGGTGCCCTCTGCTCTCTAACTGACTACGGTGCCGTACTTTCTCTCCATACTATGACAATCCCTCCCCACTCCTCATTTCAATCCCTCCTCACCTAGGTTAGCAAGCTTGCCTGCAGATATGCATTTGCCTTGTTCAGGCAGTTCCTGCTTGGGTGCCCTTGCTCCTCCAAAATGATGCCATGGTCATAGATACTGAAGGCCTGGCTGTGAGTTTGGGGCCAACAGAATGGGGGTTGTAGACACCACTGCTATGAAACCAGGTATGCAGCTTGCTGACGTGAGTTGCTCTCTTCAGGCTTCATTTCCTTTTCCCCACCTATCTATAGGCAGCTCTGCCTCAGAAGGGCCATCAGCCACTCCTGCCAAGGAGCTGGAAGAGGAGGTTGCTGTCTGTTTACTCTGTGGTAAGCAAAGCAGAAAATGATGTTGTTTCATTCCTTGCTACACACAAATTTGGAAGCTGGGGAAAAAAAAAGTAGAAAGTAAGAAGATTCCTTTTTAGCTAAACTCCCTCACCTCCTCCTGGGCATGAAGCATGGAAGAGACACAAACAGGAGGAAGGAACAAACCACGGCTTGTTTTGCCTCAGAAAATGGCTGGGAGGCTGAAACACAGGGCTCGCTCTTTGCCCACAGCCTCTGGTTCAAGCCCCTGTGGATCACTTCATTTCCTGACAGAAACTCAGTTACTTGGGCAGGCCGTTAAGGCATCAGGAGCAAAAGCTGTGGCTGGTATGAACCTTTAACCATTCTACTGTGCTTTGGGAGCTGTGCCATGGGAGGTGCGGATAGCGTCTGGCATCCTGCTTAGCTGAAAGGCACCACAGAAAACTTCCTGCTGTTGTTGTACCTTCACACAGCAAATCTCCATAAGCCGTGGCTCACATCTCTGCTTCTTGAACTTGTTGTAGCAGTCAGGGAGGAAATTAATTTATGGGCTCTCTAGATCCATTCCCAGTGAGTGTTTGGTAACACAAACAGCAACAGAGCAGGGCCACATGCCCTTACCATGAGTTGTATCTGCTCAGGGAAGGCATCAGTACCAAGTGTACCTCTGATTCTATGCCTTAGGTCTGGAACCCTGCAGGAGGACATAAAATAGTGTCGAGGGTTATTTTAGTTTCAAAATGAATGTTGAGAGCTGGGGCAGTGTGTAGTGTTGACCTTCTTCTGTGCAGCCTTGGGGCAGTAAGGCAAGTTCCAAGAGGTTCCTTTATGAAGCCTACAAACATAAAGTATCACAGTTGCAGAAAAAGATATTTCTACCTCTTCGAAGATGTAGGTCCTCAAAACAGAGGTAGTCCTTTAGGGCAGCTCCCAGAAAAACAAAATTAAGGAGAGAAGATAGCTAAAGGAAGTCTTGTGCAAGAGGCTTTCCTGGAGATTCTGATTTGGTCTCCTCATTGCATATTTCAGGTGAGTCATGCTAGTCCTATGACTGTGCCACCACAGAATTTAGTGCTGCTGGGCTTTTTGGGCATGTATCAGGTGCTCTCTAGTCAATGCTGACAACTTTCTCACAGCCAGAAGACCCTACTTTTTCAGTGTTTCCTGACTCAGCTGTGACCTTGCCCATGTCTCTCTTTCAGTTCTCTTTTCCCTCTCCTGGCTGCTTTACCCCATGCATTACTCCTGAAAGCAGAGCATTGCTCTGTGTATCTTTCTCCATTCTCTTTTTACGTCTTTGCACCATTGAAAGGTTGTTACAGTTGAATTGATTTTCTCGGATGCTAAGAAGCCATAACCTTATATTTGGAGCACTGTTCTAATTCAGAAAACTGGGTGGTAAACTGGAGTGCAGTCTGTGAGAGGAGTTCATGTCTGCCTTTGGTTAATAAGTAGGACCGGCTTCCCTCCAGAATTAATGAGGTTCAACTTTGTTTTGTCTTCACAGTTCCACCAAAGATCTCCAATATCTCCTCGGACATCACCGTGAATGAAGGCAGCAATGTGACCCTGGTTTGCATGGCAAATGGGCGTCCAGAGCCTGTGATCACCTGGAGGCACCTCACCCCAACAGGTAAGTGATTCAACAGGCCTGTATCCTGCTGGTGATTTATGAACTCTGCAGTAGTTTCTTTCTTTTCCAATGTTACTGAAAATTTTAGTAGAAATTCAGGCAACTGCAGAAATGAGGCAAGGCTCCTCAGTGCATTGCAAGCATGTTTTGTAGCATGACCTCCAAAGCATGATAACCAGATTGTCCCAGGGAACAACTGAAATTACTTCAGTAGATTTTATGCCGAACTGGACCTGTGATTCTGTTTAGCTTTGGCCTTTGTCTTGCTGTTCTGATCTCTACTGCTGGTAATGCACATGAAGGAGTGGGAATAAAACGATGCTGGAGTGGGAGAGAAAGAAGAATTTCTGTTTGTATATTACATAGAAGAGGTTCTTTCTGAAAAACTGAGTTTGCTTCCCATTGATTCACCTTAAAAGGGAGAGGAAGATGGTAGTAGAGGTGATTTTATATTACTTTCCACTTTGGCAGACAGTGTTCTGGTTTCTTGTGCGGTGAGTAAAGGAGATATTTGATCTGCCACGCAAAAGAGCAGGCTAGAGGCAGAATTATTCAACAGTTTTGTTCTGCTATCTAAGTACACCTTCCATGTTTGAAAATGTGGCAAGCTTGGAAGGAAGATGTCCTTTAAGTAGTCAGACTTCATGGTGATAGCACTATGAGTTGCAAGGAAACCTTCATTCCTTAAAACTTATCACAGGGGATGGGAACAACTACTGGGTTTCTCTTCTGTATCATGTCATTGGAGGAGAGAGCTCCTTACTGGATTTCCTTTTTGCCATCGTAAATTCAGTCATCTGAAGCATGTGGGGAAAGCACTCATTAACTCTGTATAGTATTCTGTGATATTGCCATACGTGTAAAGGGTTAAGGAGGGCTTGAAGTATGCAGAACACAAGCCTTCTTTGTATGCTAGAGATATTTAAGCTGTCAGCCAGCAAAGGGAAGAGAGTTGCACAAATAAAGTTAGAGAGAGGGGGCCAGAAAGAGATGACAGAACGGGGCCCAAGTGCTGCATCCAGAAGCCCCTGGATTTGATGTCTGTGGTTCACGTTGGCGTTGTTCAGGTTTCCTGTCTCATCTCTTCAGCCAAAGCATTCATGTATTTGAAATCTAGATATGCATCTTGTGGTTTGGGCCTATTTCTTGCAGAAGAAGGAAAGAAGATGAGTAAAGACTGCCAGGAAGAAGTGGGAAGAGCAGATGTGGGGAGCTGATGTGGGGAACACTAATCCTTTATGGTATCATTGTCACTACTTGATTTTCCAGATTTTTTAGTATTAAGCACAGATGTGCCATTGACATGCATGGTGAAATCAGTCCTATCTTTTTCACCTTTAAACATGTACTTAAAATCTTTTAATGTTGACAGTTTTCCTCTTAAGATTTATTTCCTACTGAGTCTTCTGTCTTACTGTACCTTCAGTCTTTTAGTCTTCTACCCAACTTTTTCTTGTATATTAGTTTGAAACACATGGTGAGCACAACCTAGTGTTCGAGTTAAAGGAGTTATGGGAGAATTAAATCTTCGTGAAAACTGAGTCCTGATGTGTATCAGATGCATCATTCAGAAGAGCAATATGAAGATTCTTGTCTTGGCTCATCACTTTGGCTGCATATTTGTGCTTTGAGGTGTTTTTCAGTTGTACTGCCTTCTCCATGGTATCACAGACTTCATTTCTCCCTTCTGAGGACTCCTCAGAGCATATTTCTATTCTGGCAATCCTCTCTGGTAAACAGCTGGACTGGGGAATCCCACCCCTGCTTTTATTCCTGTGTCAGTTTTCATGGGTCTGTTCATCATTTTCCCAGTGTTGTGCCTCCTCACTTTTCTTCCTGTGCTATGTGTCTCTGTGCTATTACTGCCTTGTAAGTATCCATCAGTGTCTTCTCACTATCCCTCTTTCAATCAAACTTCAGGCCTTCCTTTTAACAGTGAAGCCCACCAAGCTCCTCCTTTCTAATTGGGGAGGGAGGACAAGCAGTCCTTCATGACAGTCTGTCATGTCCACATCTCACTGCTTGTTCTACTGTCTCTTCCTGCGTCTCAACCCATTTATTAGCTTTTATCCATACAGAGGAACTGATTTCAGGCAGAAGTCCAGTCCTTGTGTAGCACGTATACCAGTAGGACACTTGTCCAAAATGAGGGACAAAAGGGTTCCTTTTATATGTTTTTTTTTATATGTTTTCCCTGAGATTGACAATTAACAAAAAATTCCAATTGTATTTCAAAGCTACCGTGGTTAGAAACATCTTCTTATCCTGGAATCTCCCTTTTCCGTGATTGTCAGGCATTTTGGCTTGATTTATGCTAGTTTTGAGCACATCTGCTATGCATCAAAGAGCTATTTTAGACATTGTAAAGGTTTCTAAAATCTCTCTCTTTTTCTCTCTGTGGATCTTTTTGTGATTAAACTCATGTCTGCAGAATTCTAAGAACGAGTGTTATGGAGCTTGTGTAGGAGGTTTTCAGTGGACAGGTTATGAAATTAAAGCAGCACTGGGGGTCGAGAGAGCCAAATTACTTTTTCTTTGTGCATTTTCCTGAAGGAGTTCATTAGCAAATTTGTCTACTGTTTCTTTCATTCATTGATTTGGTCAGTAGTGTTTGGCTAATTACCTGGGTTAGGACCACAGAAATGATTTATTTCTTGTTGGCTGGGAAGTGGAAGATACAAATGCAAAGGGAAGTCAGTGATGCTGCCTTCTTTGTGCAAAAGAGGCAGAGATGCATGTGATCATTCATTTAAATGAACCATCATATCCTACTCGTTTGCCTATCTGGGAAATAGAAAATTGATTTTAAAAATGCTGCATGCCTTCCTTTGCTGATACTTTAGTGAGTACTTGAACAGGGCATTTTTCTCGAATCAACTGTAAGTCCCCAAGCCTTGAATCAACCCACAGGAAAACCCTCTCTCCTTCTCTGGTGAAATAACTGAAGTTTGGCTGTAATTGTTGACTCTAGCACCTGGGAAGAAGACAGATAAGGGGAAAAATACTTAATAATTCAGATGGCAATTGACAATACAGATCAGCTTTAGTTCCAAGCAGTATATAGTAATGAAAGCAGAAATGACATTCCTTGAAATGATTCAAGTCCTTGCTCTCCTCCTCTGTTTCTCTTCAGATGGTTGTCTGACTGGATTTTAACAGAGCAACCAAATAAGAGAGTCAGCCAGACCCTTTTCTTCCTTATCTGACAGGTTCCAGTGCTCTAGGACCAGAGCAACAGCATCTAACTAGCTATGGATAGCTTAATAGGCATTGCCTGGGAGCACAAACGTCAGTAGCTCTGCTCCTTCAGCCAGCAGAGGTCTTATGGGATTGCTGACCTGCAGTTTCCAGCACCTCTCTGCACACAGTCCGATTGCCTCCCTTGAGATCCAGGACATGGGCTTATTAAGCCTGCTGCGCCATGTGACTTCTTATCCCACTATGTGATGGTAAGCCTTAGAAACCCTCTGAAATGGATGTATAAGGAGTCCCTGGTTTGTTCCTCTAGAGTGGCAAGGAATATTGGAGATTACTAATACAAGCTAGGTGACTTGGCAGTTGGCAGCATTAGGAATATTTCACTTGGGGATATCCTGTAGGCTCTCATCTCTTGAAAGGGACAAAACTCAGAATCTCCCCTCTGTGACTTTCTATAAAGAGTGGGTGCTACCCTGTTGTTTTCTTCTTATTATTACTCATAGACTACATGAAGGTATAGATTATTTTTCCTCACTGAATGCAGTCCAATCAAATTCCCAGTTGTGCCACAGGCTGGAGAAGGCCCCAGCTCAGGGCCACATATCATTCATCATGCTGGCAGGTTCTGTGTGGGCTAACAGGGGTGGCCTACCCATCTGTGGCCAGTTTCATTATGAGATGCTCTGTTTTCCCTGAACCATGCATCAGGAGAACAACTTACACAGTCAAGAAAAAACTCAGTCAGATAGTTTACAGATGGTAGGCAGTGTCTGCTTTTGAGCTCATCTTAGTTTTATTTCACGTCTTTCTTGACTTATGTTTATTCAGGCTAATGCATGTTCTCCCTACCCATAAGCTGCTGAGATCAGAATCCAAGAGGCAATCATTTATCATTCCTCATCTCTCCATCTTAGTCAGAGCCATGCTAGATGCTTGGTTGACTGAAAAAGCTTCCTGGGGAAAATAAATATTCATGTACATTCATATACTTCTCAATAAAATCTCTCTCAACAGCAGCCCTAAAGCTCTTGTGAATTGAGTTAACAGCAACATGGACATGGACTGTTGTTGCAGGCATCACCAAAGATCTCGCTACCAAGCCCATTGTCCTAGATGGGCAGACAAATGCCAAAGAAAAAGGCAGCTTCTGTCTGGAGGAGCTGGTATTCACAGTGACAGAAAGAGTCATCCTTCTGCTGCTTTCCCATGAGGTGTTGGTTAAAATCTCCCTGAAGGCTTTGCTTCAGGATGCTATGGCAAGTCCTGTGACATTAGTAGCCAAGTGTTTTGGCAATCTCAGAGGCTGTTACAGGAAGGCAAAGCTACACTGATCCTCTATGAGGCTCAGCTCAAGGTTGAACAAATGGGATTTACTGGTTCTGTGTAACCAGTAGAGTTGCAAACCATTCCATTTTCTTAGAGCAGTTACAGTGTGAAACCTCTATGAAATCACCAGGTATTTCATTCCCAGTCTGACTTCCCTGACCTCAGCATAGCAAGGCAGTTTGACATGGAAGACAAAAGAGTCTGGATTCTCTCATATTCCTCCTGACATTCTAAGTATATGTACTTTAGCTCAAAAAAAGAGCTTAGTTATGGCAGTAGTAATCACAGCATAAAAAACATTCTAGAGGAAAGCAGATAAGTATTGATTACAACACCCAAGTTTCATGTCACAGCGTAAAATGAAAGCAGATGGGAAGGCTTGTCAGATATGCCAGGTTAATTCTCCCTAGGGGGTGGTAGAAATTCTTATGAGTTTTAGAGAATTTACCGTAATCTGGGAAGTTTAGAAGGGTAGG